GCAATCAAGTGAAAAATAGTTATTTCTTAAGGTAATTTCAGAATCGTGAGGGAGTTTTGAACGAAATAGATGTTTAGTGCAAGTGATGATCGATGACTTTAGATTCACTTTATAGTTGCACAATTGATTTTGTTCCCAAGGTGAACGCGCGAGACGCGAGAAAAGAGAGATTGCATAACAACGTTCACCATATTTTTTTTTAATGTTTCTTCTCGCGTTGGTTTTATCTCGTTCACTGCGTAACCGAAACACTTTAATTAAAACGCACTTGTAATCTACTTGTTAATTAATTCGTGTGAACTAAATTACATTATTGTAACATTTTATCTTATGCTAATAATTGAAATGTAAAATTGTGCTTTTCCTTTAAAAAAAAACTTGGCTAACTATGTTAATTGAATGCAACACATTGCAAAACGTTCGCATTTCATTTCTTGTTTTAATTAAGAATTTCATTGTACGCATTTCATTTCTATATAAGTTTATTTTTTTAGAGTAAATATGTAGTTTATAGCAATTTACGCAATATAATAAAGTACTTTCGTTTTATAACCTTTCATAGTTTTAACTTTAACAGTGATTGTCAAATTTGACATCCAGTTGACAAGAATTTGAATCTAGTGTCAACTTTGACATAATTCAATATTTCAAATGATTCGTGACGTTTTCTTTTTGTTCTAATTTAATAATAAAAGAATGAAAAGACATTTCCTCTTAGGTAATTCGTATTTCGTAATTATCATATTCAATACTAATTACTTTTATTGTTGTTTACAGGTGAACGCACTCAGGTTTAAAGGCTACAACAACAATGCAACAACACCATTGACAGCTGTCATTACGTCCAAATGGTGTTTATTGCGCATTTGTAGAAAGAGATGATGATGATTGCGGTGCGCCTTTTAAAACCAAACAAAATTTTTGTTTGTTTGTTTAGAAATTGTTACTATATTTATTTTTTTGTTTTTACAGTATACTACTGTGTCCATGGTAACTGAAGAACAACAAAATTAAAAACAAATAAATAAGAAGAAACGCAAACAAATCCATACGTTTTCGAGGATCAAAACTGAAAGAGAAAACAAGAGAAGAGATTTTATTGTGACTTTCTGTATTAATATTACAACTCAAAAATGAATGAAGTTGTTAGATCAACATTTTAATAATCTCTGACGAAATTAAAATATCTCTGCCTGTTTGTAAAATGCAATTTGATTTATGCAATTACTTATTGTTGTTTACAGGTGAACGCACTCAGGTTTAAAGGCTACAACAACAATACAACAACATCATTGACAGCTGTCATTAGGTCCAAATGACGTCTCTAACAACCGAGTGGTGTTTCTTAACAACAAAAAACAATTGGACCAGGTAACTATAATAATTCTTTGCCCACTTCATATACTATTATGATACATTTACTTCATATATAATTTGTTTTTATTACTTTTGATAAATAACAAGTCTTATTACCTAGTTTTCTATGAAAGAGATGATGATTACGGTGCGCCTTTTAAAACGAAACAAAATATTTGTTTCTTTAGAAATTGTTACTATATTTATTTGTTTGTTTTTACAGTATACTACTGTGTCTATGGTAACTGAAAAACAAATAAATAAGAAGAAAAAACGCAAACAAATCTATACGTTTTCGAGGATCAAAACTGAAAGAGAAAACAAGAGAAGAGATTTTTTTGTGACTTTCTGTATTACAACTCAAAAATTAATGAAGTTGTTAGATCAAAATTGTAACAATCTCTGATGAAATTGAAATATCTCTGCCTGTTTGTAAAATGCAATTTGATTTAATCAATTACTTATTGTTGTTTACAGGTAAATGCACTCAGGTTTAAAGGCTACAACAACAATTCAACAACATCATTGACAGCTGTCATTTGCTCCTAATGGCGTCTCTAGCAACCGAGTAGTGTTTCTTGACAACAACAACAAAACAATTGTTTTTGTTGCTTTTGATAAATGATAAGTGTCATGTTTACAACTAAAAAAAAAATGTAAGTCGTTAGATCAACATTGTAATAAACTCGAACAAAATTGAAATGTTATCAGCCTGTTTATAGAATGCAATTTTTGTGTGTATCAAATATTAATAGTTGTAATCAAAGTTCGGTTTGAAGTACTCGATGATAGTAGCTAATGAAATCTGCGCGCAGAAGCTAAACAACACACCGATATGGGTCGATTGTTGTTGTACATTTATTATTACTTTTTAATAAACGCGGCGTAATTAAAAATATGTTTGTGATTTTCGGGTTCGTTGTTTGCGTTGTTAAGAGCGTTCATGTTTGCGTTTTTCTCTTTCTTCTTTTTTTTTTCGCATGCAACGTTATTAATTGTGGACCGCGCCTGTTCCGTTCGCACGAACGAATATCGTTTCATATTCTCCATTTATTTGCTATTATCTTTGGTCGATGACTTTTAAAAATGAAAAAAAAAACTTTAATTGAATATATAATTATAATTATTGATGCAAAATAGAGTTTTGGAGGGCGGACACACACATCGATGAAGCATTCAGATGCAAAACCGATCTTACTTAATTCATTGGCTCCAAACCGCGCAGAATTAGACGTAATTTCATTACGCGAATATATTAATAAATGGGGGCGGTTTTGAGTGTGTGTGTTTGTGTGTGCCAGTTCCGAATTTGCATACGGACACAATCTAACTTCGGTCCCAAAATTTCAATTTGCGAAACGCGTTGATTATACACGATTTACTTTACGCATTTCATCCTCGGAATATGCAGGAAATCAACTGATGTATTCAATAAGCAATTTTAGATCGTAGTAAGCTACAATTATTATTAATTTAGTTATGATTGATAATAGCAATACATTATTAAGATTTCTGCATAATTTATTCGTTTTTAGTGTTTTCTTTAAAATGCTACAATTGATGAAAATAACAACAACAACATTTCAAAAGTTCCGAAACTTTTCCGTAAATAAACTTTCTGGCAAAGTTCAGCCACACCGCAAAGACATTTCTGAAACAGCTTTGTTTTTGTAATGTTTTACACGTAATTACTTCCAATTATTCACGATTGTATTCAAATTAAATAAAATACTTGACATTTTTAACTGTACAAATGTCAAATGAATACTTACATCAAAGGTTTCCAAACTTGATGTTACTACGCCTCCCTCAAAAGTATGTAATCATTTGGCGCCTCTCCCTCCCGACCGTGAAAACACTGCTTTTTCGAACGTTCTAATTTCAATAAACATTCCCCAAACATTCAGCTTTCATATGAATTTATTGGATTAATTCTATGTATTATGTATGTATTTTTTAAAGTTTGAACACGAATTACAGTCAAACGGCTAAAACCACAGAAATATATCGATACTTGCTAGATTCCCCAAACATTCAGCTTTAACATGGATTTATTCTATCTATTACAGTTTTCGAGAAAATCAATGAAATGTAAAAACACTGGTTTTTCGAGCATTTTTTAAAGTTTGAACACGAATTACAGCCAAACGGCTAAAGCCACAGTAATATATCAATACTTGCTACATTCCCCAAACATTCAGCTTTCATATGCATATATTGGATTAATTCTATGTATTATAGGTTTCGAGTAAATCAATAAAATGTAAAAACACTGCTTTTTTAAATGAATTGCGAAATGACAGCTGTCAACTTTCGTCGAAACGTCATTTTTTTTATAGTTATAAACAATAAGTAAATTATTTGTTTCACTATAAGTTTAAGTTTGACACAATTAATTGTATATATACACGCGAAAAAACTAATACATCATCAAATGTACGTTTATTACTTTGATATCTTCTTTTTATTTATTTCATAACAAAATAAATACATAAACTGCGAAATGACAGCTGTCACCTTTAGTCAAAGTGTCATTTTTTTAAACAATTAGTATGTAAATTTGACTAATTTACGTTTAATACTATTTATATTTTCTAATTTATTTACTTAATACAAGATACAATTTTATAATAAAAAAAATACATAAACTACTAATAACTATTGTTTCTTAATTTTAAGTGTAAATTTCAAAGCAGTTTATATATTATATCAAAGACAGAGCTTGTCATCCCAATGTCAAGTGAGGTTTAATCCCATTTTCAATGGGTCGCAAAATGACAGCTGTCACCTTTTCGTCAACAATTCCTCAATAATTTATATTACTTTAAGTATAAATTAGACTGAATTAATTGTTTATTTATATAAAAAAATGAACTATGAAATTTATTACTTCGATTTATATTTGCGAATTGACAGCTGTCATCTTTTGTCAAAGCGTCAAAAACAATTATATAATAATAAACAATTGGGTCGCAGTACAACTGCAAACTATTGGGCCGCACCTGAAAAAAGTTAAGATCAGATCAGAAATATTCACAATTATAAAACTTTTCTTTTCATCTGTCTATCATATTATAACTGTATTCGAATGAAGTATAGAAA